ACAAAAGAGACCTCACAAAAATCAACTTAGCTAATGCACTAGTCATACATAGAAATAAATTCAACCATAATTTTGATTTTAAAATGCTACTCATAAAAAAAGAAAATAACTCACTCAGAAGGAAAATTCTAGAGAGTGCCGCCATAGAATATTACCCAAATATTAATCTACACCCAGGCTTTTTCCTTATTTCACCTTACTTAACAAAATTACTGCTCTCCCAAACAAGCGTACACAACAATATCGTAAAATCAAAAGAAAATGGTTGAATCCACCAACACAGTTATAATGACAATATTCTCCACATGTGACAATAACTGACGTTATTTTCAGTTAACAATATGAAAATAGTGTTCTCTACATTCCTCGAGTTGCTAAGAACATTCTGTTTTTTGTTATTATTAGTTACTTTCTTTAATTAAATTCATTTCGTTTTTTGCTTTGAGAAAGCATGTGTGTCAGCAATAACTACAGTTTTCCTATTGTCATTTATATTTATAAATATAAAACTATATATATTCTTATAGGAAATTGAATGACCAAAATCAATCTTTATGAATCAAACTGAAATCTCAACATTTATTCAACTTAGCCATCCTGATTTACATAATTTATGCATATCCCCCCACTTCACTTAGATCTAACATGACTTACTTGCAGAATTTGGGGGAAATTTTTTATGGATGAAGGCTGAATTAGTCCCAACAGTTGTGTTTTGGGAAGCAAGGCAAATGGAGGCCCTTGAGACACCCATGACACATGGTTCTACACTTTTTCCAGCTTCCAGGTATTTTTCTGTTACTCTAGACACAGCAGTCTTTTCCACCATTGTTAGGCACAGGGTACTCTAATTGCTCTTTGAGAGTGCTTCAATGACTGAAATGTTAAATTTATATCTATGATTAATGAATTTTTATACTGGATGTTCGTCGTAAAGAATGTAGATGTCGAGCAGCATACACAACAAAAGATTGAATGTGATCTTTTCTTAGTACTTAATAGTTTTTCTTTCATCCAGATAAAAATACAGCATGTCTGATTGATCAATCTCTCCTATATATAGGGTGTTTCAATAACTTGGACAGATTTTAAATGTTTAAGTGTCTAATGATTTTTTTTTTCTTTTTCTTTCAGATTTAACAACTTAAAGTCTTTGGAAATTTCAACCATGGAAAGATTAACAATCAATGTCATCACTTTCATCTTCTCCAGAACTTTCCTAGTTGTTTTCAACAGTTTCAGTGTCAGATTCACTGCTAGGCTGGGAGAAATCAGACTCAGTAAGGATATTTTCAGTGTCACTGTCAGACATAGTAAATTTTCACAATGCTCACTTGGAATGCAAAAAAAAAAAAATATAAAGATCACAAAACAAAGCAAACTATCATGGAAGCCACCATTGAAAGGTCTAGATATGTAAGAAGCATTTGGATTGCCTGGTACAAAGAACAGCCAGCTAATCATGAGGCTCATATTATTAGGCCAACAGATCATCCCAGACATCTTCTTTGTCATTCAACCTTTCAACTGATAGATCAGCCCAGTCATCTCCTAAGGCTTAATGTGATGTTTTACCAAAAAAACCCTGCACAGGACACAAACAATAGACAGACACATAGTCATAAGGAATGTGACTGTTGCACAGTACACAGGTTCACTCAAACATGTCTCATTGCCAATGGGAAAGATGTTCACAAGTGCATAGTACAATAGCATTTGACAGGTCACCAAATTACTTGATCTGTTCTTGAATTATACAAAATGGTTAGGAACTTTCCTGGTTGGTTGATTTTGTTTAGCGGCATATCAACCTCTACAGGTTATTTAATGCCAAAATCTAAATATTTTAAACACAATTTTATGGCTTCAACTACAGATAAAATATATTGTGGGTCATTTTGCTATAAAATGTATTGTTGGTAATTATACTATAAAACGTATTGTTGGCCATTATACTATTTTCTGTATAAAAATGTATTGCTGGTATTTTTACTATAAAAATGTATTTTCATGCTTTTATGGTGTTTTCTTTTTGTTGGGGGGGGGGGCACTATTTAACCATAGCTGAAACCCTAACAAGTGACACCATCCTGGGTCAGGATGGACTTGGAAACAATGTTCATTTTAGTGGATATCCATAATTGATTAGACACACTGTTTATTTTTAAAGAGTATTTATTTTGTCTATCAGTTTTCATATTTGAGAAAACTTAATAAAATGTGTACTCCAGCAGAATTCAAACCTGCATTCCCCTTTGCAGGGAAAACCACCATTTGATCCAACATACTTTGATTGCTCAGCCACAAAGAGTTTCACAATCAAGCAAGGTTCTATCTTGCCTTTAAAACACATTCACTTGTTCAGATCTTTCTTGAAACTCATATCAGCCCAGTTTTCTATTCAAAATATAATCAAAGCAATTTCCTAAAATAATGTTTGAAATAATAAAATGGAAAAATTTTTCAAAATTTTGTTGATCCTGTGCACTTTAGGCTAAACTATATGCCATTTTCAAGGGTTACATTTTACTATATTGATAGAAAATATAAGTGATGTGTCTCTTGCATATTTGTGCAGCAATCCCTCTTTAAGTCAATGAAATATATATTAAAAACGGATTGCTGCACAAACAGACACTTTTATATATACATATATATATATATATATATATATATATTGTAATCAAATACAAACACAGATCAAATATAGATCAGAATCTGACAGAATAAAGAACAAATAGGAAGCATTTATCAATCTAACAGGTTTGACTTTTATTAAAGCTTCATCGGAGAATGAGTCATAGAGCTTTGAAAAAACGTGTCATCTCTCCTTGAATTTGGAACACCATAAAATATACTAATGTTGCTGAACAAGTCAAATGCAAGTGAAGTCTGATTAACCAAACAAAAATCAAACAAAACAAAATAAAAATACCAAAATTTCTTACTTCTTTTTTCTCCATATCTCATTCTCTAATGAAATCTTAATAAAAATGAAACATGTTAGATTGCTAAACATTCCCTATTTGTACTTTACTGAGGCCAACACTGATTGTGGACAGTTTGTTTCATGATTGAATGCAATATTCAAGCCTGAAGGTTGCACTCAAGTATGAAAAAAACTGTCACCACTCAGTGTTGACTCTCTCTCTCTCATATATATATATATATATATATATATATATATATATATATATATTAGGCACGGTGGAGTAATGGATAGTGGCTTGGATTGAGGAATTGCAGAGCCGAGTTAAATTCCAGTTGAATCCATTACATTCACTTACGTGATAATACCCTTGGGAAAGGTATGAATCCTCTTCTTCTCCCTCCGCCTATGGGTAAAATAGCAGGACAGACTGGGTTCTATAGCCTTGGATGGCAACTGGTCTAGGAGAAGGACAACTCTGAATTCAAAACCTGTGGAGGGTCGTTTGGGAACCTTGTGGCATTCGGTGTACCATGTCTCTGTATTCGTCCCTTCAAAAAGTGTGGATGGTCCTGCACGAAGCCTTCACCACTATAATCAAATCTCATATGTCGTTGTCAGGCTGTCGTTTTCCTGAAAACTGGTCTGCTTGCCCCTCATACATCGAATTCGAGGGGAGAGTTGACTATATATATATATTGTAAAATTTCAGATATAACTAAATAAAGTTTATATATATATATATATATATATATATATATATATATAGGGGTTATTTGAAATAGAGTTTTTGAAGCCAAAATTGCTGGTTTTTCTGGAGTTTTCTGATAAGGAGGCATTTGAAGCAGGCAGGCTTTGTAGTAGAGTGCTCAATAATGAAGATAGAGAGAGCATTAACAGAATTAATATGAAAATGTTTTTTTCACTAAACTCATGTCTACTTTGGAGTTTCATAGCTATATAGGTATAACCACTCGTCAGAACAGAAATGACAGCAGATTAACTCTGTTCCAATGAGTGGTTATATATATATATATATATATATATATATATATATATAGCCACAAAACTCCAAAGTAAACATGAGTTCACTGAAAAAGGATTTTTCATATTAAAATATATATATATCCGAATGGGAGAAAGAGCAGATGGATTAAAAATCCACTGTTCATAGCATTTAAATTTAAAAAAGTGTTCAATACAAAGTAGAAAATATATTATTATTATATTTTTATTATAAGAGATTATGATAAAAACATTTTGAAATCGCTACACAAAAGCTTTCATGTTTCAATACTATGATTGTATTTCTTCAGGCGATGGTAATCACCTGTTACTTACCATCGTGTGAAGAAATACAATCGTCTCTTATAATAAAATAATAATAATAACAATAATATATATATATATATATATATATATATATATCAATCTCCATCAAGTGATTCATTTCTGAAGTTCACTGCTACTAACAAGCAGAAAAATTTTTTATCTCCTGATGATGGCCATGTTGGCCGAAAGTAGTCAAGGAATCTAACTGAAATAATAAAAATGAAAGAATATTAATATACCACCCAGTGCAGTGTGTCTGAAGGTTTTAATATTTTTTTTAAAACATATATATATATATATATATATAATATATATATATATATATATATATATATATATATATATATATATTTTTTATCTAGATTGAGAGAAAAAAAAATTCTTTCAAAAGATTTTGAAACTACTTGCATCTCTTGTTTTGTGCACATGTGTAGACATGGCAATGTCATCAAAAGTGAGTCCAATGAAATTCTAACAGATAAAACGCATCACAAAAACACTTTTTCAGTTTGTCATATTTTATATATATATATATATATATATATATATATATGACATTAAATACTACAGAGAAATATACATTGACATACTAGTCAGGCACAATGGATCAAGTTCATGTCTGTCACAAGGATATTTTTTTAAAATGCTTGGCAAAAGGCAGAATAGCAGAATATACTGATTAATTATTCAACTACATTAGATGGTTAATAAAGCTAAAACTTATAAAATGTATTCAAACCTTCCCAAAGAGCACTGTATCCCTCAGGGGTGGTCAAGTTTGGATCGGCGCCATAATGAAGAAGTGCTGCTATACATTGGTGGTTTCCTTTCTTAGCTGCAAGCAGTAAAGCTGTTTCACCTTCAAAACTTTTTGCATTCACGTTGACATTACCTGGAAGATTTAAAAAACAAAGAAGTAAAGCAACATCAAGAAGAAAACTAAAACCATTGTTAGGTGGATGCAAAAGTGTCAAAATATTAATTCATAGCACCATTATTCAGTCATCAAGGCATGAAACCACATTTTCTATGACTTAACACCAGCATTTATCTGCATTGTGTTTAGAATCAGCAAATAACAATTTTTGTTTCAGTGAATTCTTTGAATAATCTCTGGCAAAGTTTAACATATGTATCCACAAAAAAAAAGGTCAGTTTTTCTCTTGACAGCACTATTACTGTATACTCTCACAGCAATTTTTTGTTTTAAAAAAGCTAATTTTGAATTTAATAAAACCCAAACTTATGAAACTAGATATATGCATCTTTTAATTATTTTTTTTAATACAGTAGAATCCCTCATATCTGGAATCCTTCATATACTGAGTGCCTCATATCAGGAATCCCACATATCCAGACATAATTTTGATGTGTACATTTGAAATATTTGGGTAATATGTAAGTGATTTGAAATTTCTGTTTTTCAGGAAATTTACTTTGGATAACTGCTTCTGCTTCTTTCACCCTAATGGCTTGTATTGGTGCAAATGATGATGGGAATAAGAGGAAAAGAACAACTTTGGAGTTAACACAAAAAGTGGGAATTTTTAACAGGCTAGATGCTGATGAAAGTTCATTATAACTAATGGCCGAGTTCAACATAGGAAAATCAACATTGTCTGATATAAAATTTTCCAAACTGTCACAATGAACAAGGAAATAAAAAACATGATTGTGATGAAACCTGGACTGAAATTAAAAAAGCTATTGAAAAGGTTGTCAGTTTGATGGAAAGAAAGCCAGCATTCAACTATGACACCTGCAATAACGTAAGAGCGTCTTTCATTTAAAAAATTTCAAGAACAAAAGCAAAATGAAATGTGGAAAAAGTTGAGAAAGAAATTAGAAAAGAAAGAATCATTATGCAACAGTGATTAAAAAATCCTCATTACATTATTTGTTTTGCATACGTGGCATACTTAATTTAATGAATTTTCATTATGATTACATAATTTATTTCTTTTTCCTTAAATTCAATTTCATTATATTTCACTCACCATTAGATTATTTTGTTTACTATAACACATTGAAAATAAATGTTAAACCTGATTTCAGTTCATTTGTTTTAATCTAAATATAATCCCTCATATCCGGATTTTGTAACCAATTCCTCATATCCGGAAGGACTTCTTAGTCTGGTTGTCAGGGATTCTACTGTACTATTTATTTTATTAGACTGTTTATTTACAGGAATAATTGTATATTTATGAGTTTATAAAAATATGTGAACCAATTACAATGCAGTATTGTTTACCATATTACATTACATGCTAATACCCTTGGGAAAGGTGTGAATCCTCTTCTTCTCCCTCCAGCTATGGGTAAATAGCAGGACAGACTGGGTTCTATAGCCTTGGATGGCAACTGGTCTAGGAGAAGGACAACTCTGAATTCAACACGGAGTGGAGCCCCTAAGGCGGATGGACGGCACTTTGTGCTACCTTCCGGCAACTCCTGCAGACGTGCTGGTACCAAACTGTATTGGTTTATCCTCTCCTTAGGACACTGCTAGCAAGGATGAGAGGGGGGAACTAGACGTCTGAGCAGCCCTAGTTCTCCATATATCCCCCCAGGCTCGTAGCGCACTGCACTACTCCATCGTCTCTTGAGACAGACGGATGCCGACGACGATGATAAAGAAATAACTATGAAAAAGTTTTTATACATAAGCTCATAAAAATGTATGTGAACAAGAAAATTTAAATAAACAAACAAGTAACTGTGATTATAAGTTTTGAAAAGATGCATTTCGAAGGCATTCCCTTTATTTGCTCTCTCATTTGTAAATTCACTAAAATAGGTTAACCAAAAATCCTTTTAATTTTAGATAAATAAAAACATACACACACACACACAATGGGACAATATGTAACCTTCATGCCTGCAAATAATAATAATAAAAAAAAAAAAAGTTTTAAAAAGACATTTATTCCCTTGACATCATTATTACTGTATACACTTTTGTCACCCTTGGCAATGTTTATTGTTTTACAAAGTGATAATTAGAATAAAACCCAAACGTATAAAAGTGGATTTATACCTTTTCTTTATTAAACAAAGATATTAAACACCTTTAATTTCTTTATTCAGCAAAGATTTATTTTCTTTATTCAGCAAAGATATTAAACACCTTTTCTATTTATATATTAGATTGCTTATTTGCAAGAGTAATTTTATATTTACAAGATTATATATAAAATATGTGAACCAACTATAATGAAATATTTATTATTTACCATTTTATAAAGAAATAAATATGAAAAGATATTTTTTTTTTATTCATAAGTTTATATGTTTGTGAATAAGAAAATTTAAATAAAGACATAACAATGAGAGGAGATCAACAACCCTCTCACTTTACAACAAGATCTGGATCTTCAATACCAACGTCAAGTCGGTCCTACTTTATGGCTCAGAAACCTGGTGGGTAACCAAGACCAACACTCACAAATTTCACACATTTACCAATTGATGTCTCAGGAACATTCTCAATATCATGTGGCCGGAAGTCATCTCCAATGACCAACTGTGGGACAAGACCAGACAAGCCCCAATTGAAACTGACATCAAGAAAAAGAAATGGGAATGGATCGGCCACACACTCTACAAGCCTGCTTCTAGTGTCACCAGGGAGGCCCTTGACTGGAATCCACAAGGGAAGCAAAAAGTGGGTTGACCAAAACATACTTGGCACAGAAGTATTGACTCAGAGGTGAAGGCAGCCAGCAAAATATGAGCCGAGGTGAAGAGAACCGCCCAGAACCGTGTCCATAAGAGGTGTTGTTGTGGCCCTACGTTCCTCAAGGAAGCAAGCGACGTAGTAGTAGTAGTAGTAGTAGTAGTAGTAGTAGTAGTAGTAGAACAAGAAACACTAACTATAAATTTTGAAAAAATGCATTTTCCATACACTTCTTTCATTTGCTCGTCATATAAAAATTACTAAAATAGTTGATGAGCATTTAGATTTAGACATTTTTTTTCTTGAGAATTTACAATAAAATTGTTAAACATCATTTATTAAACAGTTTATAAGAATAACATTTAATTCTTTTGTTGCTGATTTACAAGAAAAGAAAGAATGCATAAATCCAGTTTGACATGTTTGGGTTTTGTTCAAATTCTAAAAACAGATTTTTAGAACAATAAAAATTACCAAGAGAGTAGTGATTTTCCAAGTGCAGCTTAGATGTAAGCACAAGGCCAAATGTAGGGGACACCCAGTGATGATCAAACTCACTATTCAGTTGTAATTTTTCTAGTGAGACAAGCTTGCTAACCATTACACCGCCTCAAAGTGCCCAATTATCAAAAGAGTATACACTAATAGCAGGGTCAGGAGAAAACCATCCTTCTGATACACTGGTTCTTTGTGGGTACGCATGTTAAACTTTTCAAAATTTTTAATATCAAAGTTGCCAGAACCTCTGACCCAATAAGGATTGCTGTATCAAGCAAAACAACCCTACATAGTAAATATAAATTCCAGGCAGAAGAACTTCTCTTCCCAGTTTTGTAATTACTTTCTATGTCAGCTTTACAACATGAAAATATTAACTTATGCTGTAGGGTAGGGAATTTAACCAGAAGTTTATTCACCCATCATTAATATCCAGTTAAGTTCTTTAGTCAATCTTGATTATAAAAGGGAAGGTGAATAGGGAATGATGATAAAAGAGTAGGCACCTAAATTTGTGTATCTTGGTCATGGCAATCTTCATTTAAGGCTATGTTATCACTCATGTCTTACCTGTAACTAGAGGCTGATCTCAAATCTCATCATTCCATTGGGAGTAAAGGTTTTTATTTTCTGTCTGGTTTTGCGGTAGTTTGCTGCTCTAGTTGTCTTAAATTTCTGCTTTTTACATTTAAAATTTTTTTTATTAAACAAAAACAAATTTTTTTTTTTTTTGCTAACCTCTGCCAGCTGCAATGATGGAGAAAGAATTACCTTGCATCATCGCCAGTGAGACAGGCTGCAAGAGCCACTCCCTTTCGCGAGGCTCGTCCCTTAATCGAGGTACAATCCCGCCAACCCTCCAAAGGAATGTCATCAAGCAAGGGCCAATAACCATTTTAAATACCTTTTAGCTTATGTGACATGTTTAATAACATGGCCTTAAATAAAGATCACAATGGTCTTTGTTATTTTCTTATATACAGACAGCTTGGCACATAGAGGTCTTTGAGCCACTTCTGCCAACCTCGTCGAAGATGAAAAACAAAAATAAATTGCTGGGCACTTTAGCAGCATGAATAAGTGATGGGAGGAGACAAATTGAGTAGGAGGAAGGTATGCTCAGATCAGTAATCCCAACATGGGTGAATAAATTTCCAGGTAAATTCCCTACACCACAGCATAAGTTAATATTACTGTTTGCTTCACCTTATTGCTTTTGTTTTTGCCTTTCATATATTTTTTGCTCAATATTATTTTTTGTCCTGTTCTTCTCTTTTCTTTCTCTTCTTCTTATTTATTTACTTTGTTAATTCTGTTTGTTGAGCAGTTCTGCCAATTACATTTAACCAATTATAGCCAATTATTCTACAGCAATGATTCCCAATATGGGGCGTGGTAATATTTTGGTGGGGCATACGTTGGATGTGCACCCTTCGGCTTACTATACTAACAGAATAAGGGGGCAATTTGAGAATGAGTTATTAACAGTGAATTGTTTTCTAGTGAGTTCAAATTTCAATTTGCATTATTATTTCATGATTAAAATGATCAAAGTATATTACAGAATAACATTTCATTCAAATATTTTATATTTCTACCTTTCAGTTATCTATTATATGTTTTCAAACTATATATATTTAACTGTCTTTTTGTTTTTTTTAACTTTTCTCTTTTATGGATGTCATGGTCTTTGGAGACTTGTTTAGAGACCAAATTAATGGCCATATTCACATGAATTGCAGTAAAATTTTGAACATGTAAGAAATAAATATTACAGAGGAGGGGGGCAGCAGAAATTTAGAAATATCATAGTGGGGCAGGGCCCTAAAATCAGTTGGAAACCACTGCTCCACAGTAATTATTCTAATGAACTTTTCTTTTTGGTACCTCGACTTTATGAATTTAAGTGCAAATTGGCTGTAATGTCTCATCATTTTACACTTGAAATGCTAGATCTAACTTAAGTTCTAACAGTTTCTTCTATCGCATATTTCACTTATGGAATTCTCTTCTGGCTTTTACTTCCCAGTCAACATTAATCTTCAAAAATTTAAATGCAATGTCAATTTTTAGCTTCTGTCTTCTTAATTCTTGTTCTTTTATTGTTCTCTCCCCTTAATAATGTTTTTTTTCTCATATTCTCTAACACTCAGTAACCCCCTTACATCTTAGTGGCTCCATTGCCTTGCTTGGGTGAAATTATTAAAAAAAAATATTAAAAAACTGATCTATCTAAAATAATTCTGAAGGTTAAAGTATTGTTGATAATTCTAAACTGAATCAATGGTTCAAGTGTGAAAAAACACGATCCATTTGACTCACATTTAAATGCTATTCAGTGAAAGTTGTAGAGAAGATATTCCTTGAGAAGGAAAAGTGTAATGTCAATTTTTGTTTAAAAAGAAGTTTGTTAAAGATTATAGAGATTCCTCAATGAAAATCAATTTAAGTGCAATATCAATCGTTAGCTTCTATCTTCTTAATTCCTGTTCTTTTATTGTTCTCTCTGCTTAATAGTGCTTACTTTCTCTCATCTTCTCTACCACATAGTAACACATTGAGTCTTAGTGGATTTATTGCTTTGCTTGTGGTCAAAGAATTAAAAAAACAAAACAAGATTCCTTTCTGCATGTCATCTAGTTTCATTCAATTGCCATATTTTTAGTGGTAAATCAGGGTGAAGAGAATGTACACCTTGTTTTCTTTCTTATGTGCCGTGTCCTTTCAAGACGTAAGCGATCATGGCTCTCCACTTAACCCATCCCTTGTAGCTCTCAATAAATTTCATCCCTCTACCACCTCCACCAGACCATGTTCTGCTCAAGCCTGCGAGTTATATCATGTGTTGCTTTCCCTTGTCTCTCTTTCCCTCTATTCGACTTGTTAGTATCAGATTCTCCAGGAACTCCTTTCTCATTACGTGTCCTAGAAACTTCAGCTACCTCTTCCTGACATTATAAGCCTCCTCTTTGTTTGCATCCTCTCCAAGAACTCATCATTGCTCACATGCTCGATCCATGATATCCTCAGCATCCTTCCATAGAACCATATCTCCATTGCCTCTTTACTTGACCTTAAACAACTTAAAATGTAATAAAAACAACAAAGCTGATGACAAGAGTCCTCATGTAAATAATGTAAATAGTTAAAACTATGTTAAGTCATGAGTTCAAACTCTGATAAGCGAACCACCATCATTACCTTTGTATCCCAATAGTGAAATGTAAGTTCCAGTCAAACAGATTCTTTTGATGAACCGCTACCTTCTGGAACTGACAACCAAGAGGCTGCTTCCCAGATCGCTACAATCTTAACCTGTTCAAGTCTAGGGTAACCGTTATCTTCCCCACCTATCCGCATAAACTCTGCCCCTTACTCTGTAACCCTCAATCTGCATTATAGAAATGACATCCAAGAGGCTGCTTCTCCGATCACTACACTCTTAACCTGTTCAAGTCTACAGTTAACAGTTATCTTCCCCCCACACATCCCCAGAAACTGTGCCTCTTACTCTGTAACCCTATACCTTGAGTAGCTCTTGAGTTTTGTCAGGGTGAACATCATTGTTAAAAAAAAAAAAAAGATGCTAAATCAATCTATTTTAATTCTTTTAATCTTGTATTTTACTACATACATAAATCATAATTCAAGCCAATCTGTCTTCCTCTTTTTAGTTCAAAAGCTCAACCAGGTTAGTTAATTCTAAAACAAAGCTTCTTATTAACAGATCGCAACATCTATCAGAGAGATGAAATTTACATTTTTATTATTACATTATTCCAAAATTTTAACACATCAGCAGATAGCTAATACTGTCACCAACTGAGCACAAATACTTAATAATTAAAAAAAAAATTAGTAATTAATATACATTATCCATAACTACATGCAAAAGAATGTTGATTTTGATAAAAGTTAAAAAATAACCATAAATACATAAAAAATGCATATATTATCAAAAATTCCTTTATCCACAATATAGCTATTTGTGCTATGTTATAATGCTTATTACCTAAACAATGATAATACTGAATAAATTTTTTTCAACATTAAAGTATATTTAATTACATCTCCCTAATACCTGTCGTGATCTGTAATCTCCCTTGTTTTTCATATTCTACAACAGAGCTTGTCATATGGCAAAATTACCAGTTGAATTCCTCCTCATCTAGAAAAGAGACTTTCCTTTATGTTGTAACCTAGGAAAGGTTACTGAATAATCAAACAAGGGTTGGTAATGAACAATAATCCTTAGGACAAGAACAACACGTATAAGATTCATCAGTATCTTGTAGAAGTAGTAGTCAACTGCTAGAAGTGAGTCAAGTGAATTCCACAATGAATCTCCAACTGCAGACCAACATACAGTATTTGCTACTGTATTTATGTGAATGGAGACATACCCATTCTCATCCGTAAGTTTGCTACAACACGTTTCCAATATGCCATTCAAACAAGCCAATTGCTCACTTTAGTGTTGGATGGTAAGAGTCTTTTTCAGGTTCCAGCAGCTCATTATACAAACTGTTTTGTTTGAATCTCGTCAAACATAGAGTGTTATTCTGTGGAAGACTCCATTTAAGTTAAGATACTGAATGTTATAGATTTAGTTGCTTTCTTCATCCAGTTTTAATTAACTGTGACAATCATATCCCAAATTCACTTTTTTCCTATGCCGGGTAATAAAAAAATGACAAATATTCAAACACTAACTGATGTTCATTTTGATAATTTCCCAGGAAACCTGTTTCCCAATTCTGGATTTTTCCTAAGCCATGTAAATGATGTACTACAGTCAATGGATTGCAAAAAAAACAAAGTCAAGCAGCTTCAATGACACTTCTAAGATTTCTCTAATACTGTGTAGATGGAAACAAGAACTTTTACACCTACCTAATGATTTATGATAATAACAATTTCATACTGGCTTGAAATTGATATTTTAACTGTTTTTCATACTACTTTTCACCCAAACAAGGACCAAGAGCCACTCAATGTAGAGAGTTACTGAATGAGGTTGTTGTATAAGCATAAAAGGATGAGTTAAGTATTGCAGTTTATGAAGATATGTAGGAAAGATGAGGGTTAATCCTAAACTTGAAAAGGTTAAGATTGTAGTGATCAAGGAAGCATCCCCTTGGGAACATACCCGGTAAATTGCTCGAAATCAATTGCTCGATAGTAAATAAAACTGCATTGTTTCTAATATTTACTATAAGATAAAATAATACAACTTTATTGTTGTTAACTGAACAGTTAAAATTAAAGAACGAGTACATTTATATGGCAGGTCTTTTTTTTTTCTCAAAAGGCAGTTTGCTCAAAACCTGTGGTTAAAAAAAAAAAAAAAACACGTGCTAAGCATTTCCTTTTTTGCACATTTCACATTTCCAGTAAATCTTATACTGTTTTGTCCTTAATATATAGATATCCATCCAAACACAACTTCTTTCCTTTTTCACTCTCAACAAAAATTATGTCCATCACTAGGGTTTGAGATCTCTAAAATTACTGAAATAGAAATAGGAAACAAATATAGAAAAAAAAAAAAAAAATCAGGACTGCTAAAGTTGAAGCTCCTTTTATATCCAGCTGGATATTGACACGTCAATGGAGCTCCATTGATGTGTCATGAGACGGCACAGTTTACATGGCGTATTGATCTTCAAAATTACTTCGAGCAAACTGCCTTTTGAGCAATTGATAGTTTGAGAAATTATTTTTCGGGCAATTGATTTCAAGCAATTTACCTAGATCCCCTTGGGAATCTGTTCCACAAAATATCAGTTCTTGGGAAGAAGCTGTCTGAATGGAACGTCAGTGTTTGTGAAACTCACCTTTTTGTAATAAGACCTGAAGGCACCCCGTATTATTGGCCCAGGCTGCTTCATGTAAAGGTTCCCAACCACGGTTGTCTCGAACATCAGTAGGCCTTCCTAGAAATAAAAAGAAACTGTGTAAAATAAAACAAGGTATCTCTGGTTAAATTTCTAACACAAAGAATTATCATTATGGTACAATGATCTGGATGTGTGCATAGTCTAGCAGTCACTGGTATGGAAAGTGGAAATGGCAAGCTGGGTTCAAATACTGGCCAATGCTTCAGCATTCACATTTGCACAAATATCCTTGGGAAAGATATGTAATGAAACTCTTCTCTCACACCCAGATGTGGGTTAAAGAGTGTAGACTGGACTTTCTAGTCTTGGATGGCAAAAGAAAAACTTTAGATTCCAAAACCATGAAGACGGAATCAGGATATCACTCCAGAATCTTTTCAAAGAACGCACGTCAATTCACAGATCATAAAGAAATCTGTGGAAAGCCATGATTGCCTACGTCCAAAAGAGATATATTATTTTTTATATTATTTTTAATGGGAGAATATAAATTTATATATATATATATATAACGTCATCCACAGACAGACTGTTTCGCTGTTTACAGCTCATCAGTGTGGCTAGACATCCGGTTGCCTCTAGCTAGATCGAAACCCACTGAATCGGTGTCAGTCGGAGACTTCTAACCACTAAGCCGTCGGCGCACGGTAGGGATGAAGGTGGATTTTTAGCATATTTATTTTTAGAAACATGCCCTTTAAAAAAATATATAGAACAATATTAAGCAAATGAATGACAAAGTGGAAAAAATTCTGTATAAAAAATTAACCATTCAAACAAATCTAATGAAAAAAGGTACATTTTTTTTTTTGTAAAACAAGAGTAAATGAATTTCACTGCCTTATCTAGGGATTGAACTCACAACCACCAGATTAAGAAATACTTATCAATGCTTTTATCCATGAGCACATTGTCAAGCAAGCAGTGAAATTTAAGCGTTAAACCTAAAATATGTTCCTTCTCAACCAGGATAGAAAATATCCTATATGAGCACAGATAGTGAAATGAGAACAATAACCATTGATTGAATAAAGGATTCAGTTTGAAATTTCCAGGTTTTAGGTTAAAAAATACAGAACCTGGAATGAAACGTTACAAGAGGCAAAAAAACTTTATTAGAGAAAGCAAGATGAAGTTTTTAGTCTGAAGAGATCAGGGAATAATAAAGATAGCAAATCTGAAAGACACAATAGTTTAATTTTCAATTTTATGGATAATAACCAAGATGAGGATATTCGTCTGAAGAGAGTAATAAATAATCATTTACTGTTAACCTGCAAATATAATAAAATGCAATCTTGAATATGCAACAATAATCCATCTTATTCTTATTGTTGCATTTTATCCCAGCATTGTGGCTCAATGATACACTACTATTTTTTTATTTTATTACTAGTTGTATTTTATTTTTATTTCATATTGTTGTTGCATATCCCAACCGTCTGGCTCAATACACTTATTACGAGTTTTATTCCATTTTATTATTGTTGATTTTTTATCCCAACAGTAACACTTTTTATTTACCTCTACTCTTCAATCTTCATTATTATTTTATTACTAGTTTTATAATTTTATTTCATATTATTGTTGTTTTTTTTTATCCCACCACTAACACCCTGTTTTAATACTCTTCTTCATCATCATTATTATTATTATATTATTTGATTAATAATTTTCACTTTTTTATTTCCAATTTTGCATTCTTTGCTCTTAAAGTCAAATCATCATTTTTTTTCATAAAATCCCATCTAATCTAATTTTAAGATTGTGATGCAACGTTATTAAAAAAAAGTTCTCTCTGTTTAAAAAGCCAAAACAAAGAACGTTATTTTTGTGCTTCTTCTTAGACTACCTGTCCATGTTGCCGCTTGACATGTCACGTATTAATTTTTATATAACTGGCATAATATTTTAAAACTGCTTCTTAATTCATTAATAGATATTTTTTAAATTAAAAAAAAAACAGAAAAAAAAAACTTGCGTCAGGTAACATAAATCTGGGACACAATGAAACTTTAATTTTTAAAATATTTTTTTAGAGATTTAGATTCGCATTTGCTGCATGACTTAAATAAAAAATGTAATAAAATAAATATTTATATTAAAATTAAAATAGCTTTTAAAAATTATTAGAATATGGACATAAGAAAGATTTATTTTATTCAGTAAGGTATGAATCAGTGGTTTGTGTTTAGTTTTTAATTTTAATTAAAACACCTTTCTTACAAGAAAATCCAAATTGTCACAGATCTGAAGAACTGACAAAAATAAAAATAAGAAGAAAGACTAAGAGCCAAAATGTAAAACTCCCAATTATCATAAAAATAAAAATATTAATAAAATACTTTCTTAGTTTTTCTTTTTAAAAATAAAATACAACGACAACCTGTTCGCGGCAAGGGTTACTTTGGTCAGAAAATAATATCAATCTTTTTTTTTTTCTTTTTTTATTAATTTTATCGAGATTATTACAGAATAACGAGCATCGCCAATTAGGCATTTACGAAGCAAAACGTAAAAACCCTAAGTTATTTTAAAATTTAGAGGAATATTGTTGATACGCACTAGCTAGGGTTAAATAAATAAATTTAAATAAGTTTAATCTCTTTGTTTAATTTTCTAGATTAAAAAAAATCAAAAAATATCATTATAAAATTTTAAATTTATTTACGTAGGTGTTTTTACGATTTTGATATAAAAAAAGGAAAGAAAGAAGATTTTATTTCTGGTGCAATTAACTGCCGAACTTAATTAAATAAAATATCCTACATACACTATTTTTATAGTAAACATATTCAAATTTAAAAGCTGAAACGTTGTGATTTTACTACAGTCCTTTACGATTTTTCAATTCATTCATAAAAATAAAAAATATTTTATGAATGAATTTCGTTCTATGTTAAAAAAAAAAAAATTAATAGAAGATAAATAAAAAATCTTTTAAAAAATACAACAAAAATGTAATGATTTTTTAGTTCATTAAATTAAATTTATTTAATGAACAAACAAAAAAGTTATTGACTAAAAAAGTAAAATTGCAAAATTAAATTATTATTAACTTAAACTTAAGTAAGTATATTAAAATAAAAATATTTTACAGGTAAAAAGAGAACAATTCTTTATATTATTATGAAAATAAACTAACCAAAAACTAAAAGAGATGTTTTATTTAAGAACTAAAGACAAAGATTTTTTTTTTTTTTTTTACTATGAAAATTAAACAAATAATAATTTCTTTCTAACCTTCTCTAAGTAAACGTTGCAGTTGACAAACATCGCCTTCTCTTGCAGCCCGACCAATAGTGGAGCATCTATCGGCATAAGCCTCCGTGAAATCCATAGATTCTGGATAATCCTAATGATGAAAGAAAGACGGTGAATCGGAAAAAACGAATATTAAGCAAAAACATCAGTTTGAAAAGAAACCCAAAAGATTTTGCTTGGAAATAATAAGAGAGAATGATAACAAATATCAGGAACGATAACTCCAGATCGTGGATTCCGTCCCCTTAACGTGCAGTTATCGAACCTTGCGTATTCAGCTTAGAAAGTATTATTTGGAGTAATTATATTTAAATTAAAAATCTCTCAGTATCCCTCTCCTTCTATATATAATCAATGATACCTCACCATGGATCATTGGTTAGCAAGCTACACGAGCAGAATATTACTAATTAATTTGTTACTTAAAGGGTAACTTACACTTACTTGACATGAAAGTAAAAAGTTAACAATTTTTTTTCTAAATGGTCACACAATACAAGGCCCAAGAGCCGCTCAAAGTAGAGGGTGACTCAATGAGGTTGTTATACGGGCATAGGAGGAGAAAGTACAGATTATGAGAATAATACAATAGGTAACAACTGATCCTAAACTTGGAGGTTAAGATTGTAGTGTCCGGGGGAAACATCCTCTTGAGAGTCTGTTATATATATATATATATATATATATATATATATATATATATATATATATATATATATATCTGTGTGTACATTATATATATGTATGCAGGTATTTCTGTGTAGCTTAGCTCCATTTAACTATTACAGATTCAAATTCCAGCACTCCCCAAAAATGCTAGCATGTAGCCAGCAAAATTTTTTACTATATTGACAATAACCAGTTCTTGATGATGACTGATGTGGTTGAAAGTACTTGAACAAAGACAGAATAAAGCATTAACAGTACAAGGAGAGTAGTGACAATTAAAAAATGGAATGAATATGAAAAAAAAAATCACTGTTAAAAATAATACACACACACACACGCACACCCACACACATGAATGCAGAGGGTATTATATCTTTTTTTATAGTATGACTTCATGAGGATCATGTAACAGTGGATAAGGAAAGTCAGTCTGAGAGTGATGATAGCTTGTAGGTTGATGAACACCAGTTGTTGTGTAGAACTTAATCAAGGTTGACAGTAAGGAGAATGAATTAAACATTGAATATTACTGCCACATTTGCTCTGGTGCTTCTGCCACGTATTTAGAAATTTTTAATAAAATACAAAGAAGAATCTACAACATAATTGGTCCTGACCTGGCATCTCACCTTCAGTCACTTTCCCAGTGCCATGACATAGCTTGTCCATGCCTTTTCTATAAATATTTTCATAGTAATTGTTCTAATGAGCTTTCTTCTTTGGTACCTAGACTTTAGAAATTTAAGCACAGTACTAAATTGGCAGCAAAGTCTTATGATTTTAGTTGAAATGGTAACTAGATGTAACCATATGTTCTATGCTAACGGTTTCTTTTCTTGCACTTCTCACTTATGGAACTCTTTTCCAGCTTCTTGCTTCCCAGTTAACTTTGAGCTTTAAAAATTTAAATGCAATGTCAATCATTATCATCTGTTTTTTTTATTCCTGTTCTTTTAAAGCTCTCTCTCCTTAATAATGTTTTTTCCTCTTATTCTCTCACACTCAGCAACCTCTTGAATTTTAGCGGCTTTATTGTCAGCTAAGACAAGTTTTCCTTTTGTCTTTATTTATATTGTCTTTTTACAGATATATTTTTAGTTATAATACTCTGAAAGGAAGAATCAAGTCTGAAAGATAGAATGCCAATAAAAATGATCCACCTTTAAAATACAAGCAAAAAAAATTGCAATAAGCTTATTAACCACCTGGAAGTAGCTGGCGAGACATACAGGGGTTAGACAAAAAATAAATGGAACAGGTACAAATTCCACTTCTATATTTCAAAGACCTGTTATATTAAGAACTTTAACTAAAACTTCATAATTGCAGGTTATATGTATTGTAAATACGTTTTTTTTTTATCTAATTTACTGTCTTTGTTTTATTTATTTTTAGAATTTAGTAAAATTTAAGCTAAATGCGTGACCTCTCTGAGTTCGAAAAAGGGCAAATTGTTGGAGCTTGCATGGGCAAAAAAAGGGCAAAACCTCTAGCAACCATAGCAATTTGGGCCGGACTTGCAAACTTACTGACAGGAACCAACGTGTATTGAAACGCAATGTGGCAAAAAATCATCAGATTACTGCAGCCAAAGTGACTGCTGGGTTGAATAATCTTCTGAGTAGTCCAGTTTCTACTAAAACTTATTGTCGTGAGCTCCATAAGGCTGGATATCATGGAAGAGCCGCCATAAGCAAACCTCTTCTCTCCACTCAGAACATTCAGAAGAGGTTGAAGTGGTGCAGAGATCACAATGTCTGGTCTGCAGACCAATGGAAGCAAGTCATATTCTCAGAAGAATCCAGTTTTTCTCTTTTCCCAACTTCTGGGTGAGTTTATGTGGGGAGGCAGCCCAAAGAATCTTACAACCCTGACTGCCTTCTTCTAACAGTGAAGCATGGAGGTGGATCAGTGATAGTTTGGTCCGCCATATCATGGAAATGTCTCAGTCCAATAGTTGCCCTGCATGGTAGAATCAACAGCAAAGATTACTTGAACATTTTGGGAGATCATGTTCATCTAATGGCCCAGACTTTATTCCCTGATAGTGACTGCATCTTCCAAGACAATAATGCTCCAATACATACCACTCGAATGGTTAAGAATTGGTATGAAGAGCATGAAAGTGAGCTAGAACACATGGAGTGGCCTCCCCAATCTCCAGATATCAATATTATTGAACATTTGTGGTGCATTTTGAAGCAACAAGTTAGGAGCTGCTATCCTCCACTGTCATGTCTTAAAGAGCTGGAGAAAGTTTTAATGGAAGAATGGCTGAAAATTCCTCTGGATGAAGTCAAGAAGCTTTATGATTCCATTCCTAGACATATTAAAGCTGTATGTGAGGCTAAAGGAGGACAAACTCCATATTGAATGAATTTTCTTTGAATTTAACAAGTGTTTCAATTATTTTGACCAACCTCTGTACATCCCTGGTCAAAATCTTAAGACCAGATACAAAAGGGTTAAAAAAATATAAAATACTGTTACTTTAATCAAAATATATTTTTATTGTAATTCTTGTGGGGGGCACTATGCTTTTCCTTGGAACATTATACAAACAGGCACACACACACGTACATACAAACATACTTTCAAACACAAACTCTTTATGTTTATGCACACAAACACATTAATATTTCTGTCTTTTGTAAACCCTTTTTGTTGTTTAATACATATACCTGTTTGTACATATCGGTTTCTTCTTGTTTTTCTGTTACATTTTCTTTTTGGTAGGCTCATTTTCTGAGTCTGCCATATTTGTCAGTTAGTCAGTTATGTACCATGCATGATACTAACTTAGACGATCATGTATCTTTTGATACATGACTGACAAGGCAAATTTTTTTTTCCTGCAGTAGGTTGCCATTTCTTTCTGCGGTAGACCAGTTGCTATCCAAGGCTATAGAACCCGATCCGTCCTGCTGTTTACCCATAGACGGTGGGGAGAAGAAGAGGATTCATACCTTTCCCAAGGGTATTAGCACATAAGTGAATGTAATGGATTCAAGTGGAATTTGAACTCAGCTCTCTGATTCCTCAATCTGAGCTGCTATCCATTACTCCACCGTGCCTCCTTCAGTGGACTTTATTTCAGGAGTTCTACCTGTGTTCATATCACAAGATGTATAAAAACCATGGTCCGCTACACCCTCATTAAAATAAAAAAATTGGAAATATGACAGTGTGTCAAATGATGGTTTTTTTTCCCATGACACCACTTTTTTTAACTACTTTCCCTCTTCGGCATTGTTTATTGTTTTAAAAAGCGATGATTAGAATAGTAATAAAACGTAAACATATGAAGGTGAATGTTATGAATAATCAAGAGTGGTCTCCCTTTGTCTTGTTACGCTCCTCTTTGAGAGAGAGCTATTTCTGTTTACTGGGACTATAAAAGGACACTATATGCGAACCTTGTATTCTCAGTTGAAGAAAAGTGTTCTTAAAGCCTATACCTGCGTACTTTTGTCATTACAGTGAATTTATACATTTTCTTTGTTCTCAAGAATTGACAACAAAAATAAATAGTGTTTATTTTTATTGTAGATTCTCAAAAACAAAAATGTAAAAATTCATATTGCCGAAGAGTGAAAGTAGTTAGAATCAAAGCAATGTCATGGGTAAAATCTGACAATCCGTCTTATTTCAGGCACAAAGATCCAAATTTGCCAAAAATTTTTTAAAAGTATTAAAAATTAATGAGCACCAAAAAATGTTTTCATTTATTTATTCTAGAATAAAATAAACAATGGCAGTGGTGTGCATGGGTCTAGTAGTGTCCAGGGCGAGGAATGTGACTGGCACCCCCTACCCCAAACAAAATTGCAACAAAGATCTACTTCTACAAAGGAAACAATTTAAAATTTCACATTACATTAAAAAATATAATTTCAAATATGAAACAAAGATTAATAAAAAAAAAATTGCTAGAAATTGATTTTTCATTTTTTTTCTAAAAACATGTTTTAAATTTCTTTAAATTAAAGTCAACAAAAAGAAAAGAAAAATATACTTAAATTTATGTTAAATGTCAAATTTCCTTTGGTTTTTCAGTTTTTAGACTGAAAGAAATTGACTTTACAAGAATGAAACTGATTCAATAATAACCAAGAATCTTTTTTTTTTTAAGTAGTCTTTGATTTTATGGCATTCTATCTTCACACCCACCCTTTATATCTTTTGAACTTTCTTTTCACTATCAGTTTCACAGACATGAAAAATAAAAATAAAAGAACTGCCACCAAAATCTTGGACTTCTCAAATAGGTGTGAAAAAAATCTTTGGATTTAAGTAGGTACCAACAACCAAATATAGACATTTTAAAACTAAAATTAAAAAGTATTTTATTTATTTTTAATATCTAATTTTATGTGTATTTGAGAAATAAAAACAAAAAGTTATGTT